GTATATATATATATACATGTATACATATAAATATATATACATACATATATATATACATATATATACATATGTATATATGTATATATGTATATACATATATACATATATACATGTGTATATATATGTATATATATGTATGTATGTATGTATATATATATATATATATGTATATATGTATATATGTATATATATATATATATACTGACACAGTTTTAATTAGTAATAACACAGACTAAATCCTATATTGTAATTTTTTTTTCTCAAGTATAGCAAAGTTTATGACCTCCTTAGCTCTTTCATCGACCAAATTTATTTTCTATAATAAATATTTTTTCAGATCAAAGCAAAATATAAAATAATTTAGTATTATTTTTGATAAATAAGCTTGCATTCATGAACTACCAAAAAGTATAAATGAAAGTCTTTAAGGAAATAAATATTTATGCTTTAGAGGGCTAATTATATATTATCCCAATAGCTAGTTAGGTTTAAAAAAATTATATTAATATTTTTATATCGATGAAAATAAAAATATTTAATTTTGTTTCTTCTCACACCGTCAACTGAGAGATATCGCACGTGTTATCACGTGTAGAAATAATACTTAAAAAAAATAAAAAGATAATTTTGATTCTCATTATCTAAAGATATTAATTTCATAGAATGATAACTAATGTAAAAGCTTCATTATTCTCCTTCTAGTTTTGTCCATTTCTTTGATTTTACTATCCTCTCAAATGACCTACCCAATCGTGACGTCGAAGGTCATCCTCATTTCTTGCACCGTCCCATTTCCCATGTTTCATTATCCTATCTAACGTCTCTGATTTTGTGTAAGACCGATGACTCTCTAACGGTGAGGATCAAAATTATATTTTTATTTTTTTAAGTTATTTTTGTACGTGATAAACATCGGAATACTTCTGCTTCCAAGTGGAGGTACCAACTATGTCGTAATTATGGGTACCAATATGGATTCATGTGCGATGAGCAAAGAACGAGGGATCAGACCGCATTAAAGAATGTATGATGGTAAGGACGAAGGCAAGAGAGGGAAAGGGGTAAGTGGATTAAATGCAACCACCGGTGAGTGCGGTCAAACATAGAGATCAGAGGATGATAACAATGTAGGGTCGAGTCATTTTCCCATAACGACCAGTCATAACCGCTAATTAAATTGACTCACGGATTGTGGGAACCATAGTTACAATTAAAATTTTTGTGTCAGATGATGATCATGAGATTATTACCATTTTACATGTAATCACTAATTTGAAAATATATTCTTCCATTTATCTACAGAAATAAATCAGCTAAGATCGTATAAATTAAGTACATTTAAATTGATTGATAAATTTCATGTATATATTTTGTTGGAATTGAGTATCGATCAATGAGAAGACACATGAATCTGATGGATTATTCATCATATTCAAAATTAGATATAGACAATGAACATATTTATTATTATTGTTTACTTTTTAATTATTGTTTTATGTTTATGTTTAATTTCATAAAATAATGTTGAAACTTATGTCTATTAAAATTCAAGTATATATATATTTTTATTACTTCGATTCATATGACAAAATAGATAAACAAATAACTAGTTAATTACAACCATATCTGAGAGTAGATTTTATCATGCATACTGTCAAAATAAATATATGTACAAACACTTGTAGGGCGAGTAAGTTATGCTGTTTCAAACGCATGCATCTAACTATTAGCTCGGTTCTTTGAGCCTGAAATATACTTTTTTTTTTTCTTTACATTTATAACATTTAATGAACCTAATTGGTTCATTTGATTATGAATGTTATAATAATTTTTGTCTTTTTAAAAACCTTTGTCAAATACTGGTCAAACACTTAACCTTTTGATGTGATGGTCAACAGTGCTTTTACATGAATTTACATGAATGGAAACAGTACATTCATTTACTGTTATGCATAGGATAGTAAAAGACAAGTCTTAAAAGGATGATACAGTTGCCAAAATGAAGCTTCTTCAAGGAATGAATCACATAGATCTGCCATTAGTTCAAAATAACCTCCTGGATTCCTCTGATTATGATGTTGATTACAGCATTCGTATGATCAACACAGATATTTCGAATGAAGAAAAAATAATTTACAAACTCACCAAACTCAAAAAGTCAAAAACTAGTTTCCACCATACCGATTTTTCTGGTATGGTGAGGTATTTCTGGCAATCAAGTATCTTCAAAAGATGACCCAATTTATATCAATCATCCATAACTTACAAAAGTTATAGACATATTTCCTATATTTCCCAGAGCATCAAACCATCTTTGATGTTCCGATGGATAATGTGAAGTAAATATGCAGGCAATACTATGTCAATGCACGTGCCTCTTTTTGGAAAGAGTCTTCAACATGCCCTTGAGTATTTTCCAAAACCAAAATAGATTCATCAATGTCAAAATTGGAGATACTGTCAGAAGAGTGTACAACCCCAGAGGAAATATTGTCTTCACCTGGAAACAAAAGATCCATAACCTTGTTAGTTGAAGATACTTTCTTTTTTTGTTTTCAAGAGAAAACATTCATTTGTTTCCAACTCTTCTAACCTTTAATCAGTATATGATTTGATGAAATTATCAGTTGAAAACGAGTCATTAGGTATTTCTTTCCAACGAACAACTACTAAGTTTGCTGATTTGAAGTTCTATCAGGGTTGCCAAGTGCCACAACTAAAAAGTTGCCTGGAATTTTTGGTGTAATAAAATAAAGATTTTCTTTAATCACCTGAAACCAGGTGACAAAGAAAGGCTGCACGCTTGATTTTTGTCAAAGCAAAATCTTCGATCTTTGTAAAAAAGGGAACGTTTTTATACAACTGTACCATTATGAGAGTTTCTAGAAGTAATGCAAGAAAGGATTGCTAAAAGAGCATGCCATGATAAAATTATAACCTCTAAAACTGCAAAAAGAAAAATACGACCATATATTTTGAGACTCACTTTAGCGAGTGTAAACTCAAAAATAATCAGCGACTGGCAGCTTTAGGACGATCAAACTATACATCTTGTGAACTTTGTAGAGGATAAATAGATTCAAATGGTATTCTTAAGAACCATAACAATAACATCGACAAATTCCCACATCTGTAGTATTCTTGTATTGTTTTTGATACATTTGGATGCACTTAGAGAATAAATATTCATTGCTAATATTCTGACCACCTACAGCTTAGTGTACTGTTTCTTATGGATATATAAAGTTTGTGCATCCTCCAGGTATAAAACTGATAAACGTACACATAAGATTCATGCTTCAATTGCAAACAATTTAAGCTTTAAATGTGATTTCTTAGTATCTATAAGAACACTGCCTGCAGCATACCTGATGAAAGTGAAGATATATGTGCATGAAGAAATAGATGAACAATAGGATCCTTGCAGCCTACAATAAAAAGAACTCAACAGATCAATAAAAAAGAAATAGTAAAATTAAAATACTGATTTACGACAGTGTTAGATAACTGGCTTAGTAAACTTATTTACTGCAAACGGTGTTAG